ATCTTCTCTTCCGCGTTATGATTAGATCGCATCTAGTTGACTGGCTGGCTATTTCCTCCTTTAAATTACCAGTCTGAAAGTGCTTGAAGTATTCATCGTAGAATAAATAGGCTCTTTAGGCTATCAAATTTCAATTTCCTAAGAAAGTGAAGCGATTTTCTCTGGCGAATTTATTTTAGGTGAGAGTTGTAAGAAAGGGTGCTCAAATGAGAATTTCCAAATATAGATATAATTTAGCAGATTTATCGAATATAAGAGCGTAGCAAGTAGCAACAACGATAGATTACGCTATTCATAATGCATTCTTTTGAAAACAACTTTGCGCCGTTAAGAATGCTCTTTGCAAAATGGATTAGAGGCAGACGTAATCCGCAAAAGCCTCTCCTCTCGGCTTCTCGTTTCGTACTAAATTCACGACAAATCGAATGTATTACTGTTGAGCAAGTTTGTATGCATGAATGCACGTCGAATGTACACAATCCCTTATTTCGTTGATTCACTCAACTATATTGAGTATTCTACGCTAATAGATAGTAAGCAACCGAGTATTAATTTTGAGGTGGAAATTTTGCATTCTTAAATAATATAGTTTGCAATGAAAGTTTGCTCATTGCTTGAAGAGTGCTGCTTGATTGGAGCTTTAAATATAGGAAGCTTATATTTTCGCTCTAAGCTCCCTGAGAAATTTTTATAAAAATAGTGTTTGGTTGTTTTGACGCACTAAATGTACTGTCGATGGTGTTTCATGCATGATCGAGTTTTATACTCTTCCGAATATTGCTCGATTTGAAAGCAGCATTCAATGAATGGATAACTTCATAGTTTATGACATTCGATGAGAACATGTTCGGATGCCTCACGTAATATGACCATCAATGAGCGCAGATGAGTGACGAGTTTGACATGATCTATAACAGCTATCTGACAATGAGTGTTTTACATTCAGAATGAAAGGAGAAATTCATCCGATGCAGCACCTACTTCAATAAAAGCATTTTTGCACTCAGTGTCACCTTTCTGCCGTAGATCTTTTACTGACATTTTTGTTGATATAGATAATACTTCTCATATCTTCTTCAAAAAGTATAAACTCAAAGCATTGCTTACTATGTCATGCAGCGAATGGTTTAAAACGTGACAGAAACGAACTGAGCAACAAAATATTGTTCATTAATATGTAGGAATAAGATAAGCCGTATTAAAAGGCCAATAATGAAACACTTTGGTTTGAGGAGCATTACATTAAATCGAATGGGAAAAGAGTGAAGCAATGCTTAAAGCAATATTTGGATTCTTAATTGACGTTCATCCGTTGCAGTGATGTCCTCACATTTGATTTCGTCTTATCGAATGTGTGGCGATGAAAATATTGCGATTAGTTTCTCTTGTTGAGCACTGCAATAGAATGAATGGTGTGGCATATTCGNCGGCGACGGAATTTCGATCTTGCTCAGTGCATCGAATGCGAAATATCCGGTTCAAGAAGCCGTTGAAGTAGAGTGATAATTATTGACAGTAGCCATACGAAGTACAGTAGATATTAGACTGGGCTGTGAGCACCTATTACGAGTCGAGCCTTTTGCATGAAGCCATGATAGCTTGTGAATGTCAGTGTGGATGTGCTTGCATGCACGGATGGATAGTGAATATTATAGTCGGTGTAAAACACTGAAAATTATCCGCTAAGGATGATTGATTGCTTGTTGACTGTGAATGAATGTGCACAGTTTTCAATTACTCACAATCAGTCAAAACGTCGACAGTATGAAATGGATGTTGCAGATGTGTTTATCAACTGTTGAAAAGATCGAATTAAGGAATGAATATAGTCGCGAATTGAGGTGTGAAAAGAGAAGAGTGCTTGATTTCATGTTGTGTTATCGTTCGTAGAATATCTGCTAGGGAAGAGTTCGTCATGAGCACTTCAGTAATGACTGATCTTGCATCGTATGGATGCGCGCGCATCCGTATGAGCATATGAAATTAAGCGAGCACAGAGCAATGAGTTTGTGTGCATTTGTACGAGATATTAGATATTATACTTTGCGGATACGGTTTGTATGAGCATAAATCCTAATAAACATATATTGCCTGATGTAATTTGAGTAGTGGTGGCCTTTCAGGCGTAGGATTCGATTCCATTGGATTCGATCGACATATATGTAAGCGTATTGCCAGGACATGTAGGGATAAGAATGT